CCCGACCCCCCCCCCCTTAGCCTCTGGCTTCAGGCCAAAGCAATTTGTTGCCTTGAAATTACCCGTAGCGGAAGCCATTCAAAGCAAAGGAAACACCGTGTAATCAGACCCAGAGGAGATTCCTCGCCCGCAGGCCCTGGGATGGAGGGAGGGGAGCGGCGCACAGTGCGGGGAGTGGGCACAGACCCACAGGAGCAACACAGCGGGCAGGGCCCCGGGCCCCCAAGCCAGCCTGGGACCACCCCCACCAGCTCCGAGAGGGGAAACTGAGTCGCTTAGCGACTGTGGACCACAACCCTAAGGCTCCCCTGGACTGCGGATGAGCCTTCCCAGCCCGAGCCGGTCCCACGCAGCTTCTTATCAGCCCCCAAATGGCTTTTCGACACCGTGGAGATTCGGGTCACACATCCGAACCTTGGCTTGGTTTGCAAGCCCGTTCTGGGCAGAAAACGCTGGGCCCCGTGGGCACGGGGAGAGGGCAGGGAGAGCAGCGCAGGCCGTGCCTTCTCCTTGCAGTGCTGCCCCGTCACGGCCCGGGACAGCCCGCTCGCTGCCCAGGGACTAGAGCTGCAGCTGCTGCCGGCAGATCCACAGGGCTCGTGGCGGACGCTGGGCGCTGGTGGAGGGAGCGGGGCTGAGAGCTCCCAAGGGCTGAAGTCCCACAACACAAGCAGAGGAAGAGCAAGCGTAACCTGGGGGCTAGCGTGGGTCTGGGCCCCGGTAAATGAGAGCTTAATGAGCACTGAGGACCCACTAGGCCGTGCTGTCGAACAACGGGGGGGACCCAGCCTGCAGCAAGCAGGCACCGAGCGCTCCGCCATGGAGCAGCCTGCTGGCCAGGCAGGTCAGCAGAAAACCCACCGACAGGGCGCATGTTGCCCTCCTGGGACACCCCCAGACTGCAGAGGGGCTACCAGGAACACCTGGTGCCAGGCACTGGCGTGGCGGAGGGGTCGGTGGAAGAGGCAGCTCTCCACTCTCAAGTCCTCTGCACAGGGCAAGGGCCCAGCCAGCCGCCCCCTCTGAACGGCTGGGGGGGCGGAGAGGCTGCTTCGAGGAGCCCGTCTCTGCCCTGCCTGCGCTAATCACAAGGCGTTAATCAGAACCAACTGCCCCGTCCACCTTCGGCCTGAACGACCTCTCCCGGGCAGCCGCCTTCAGGCCCAGCGCTGGCTCGGCGCTCTCTGCCCGCGGACTCGGCTTCCCCTCTCCTGGGCCCGGGCGGCTGAGTCTCTGTGGGGATTAGCACGGGGGGTGGGCAGAGCCGCCCAGAAGAGGAGAAGAGGAGCACGTAGAAAAAAGCCAGCCCCTCGTTACACCCACACCCCGAGCCCGGGCACAGGCTGAGGGCTCTTTTCTAGGCCTGGCAGGGCCCTGCTAGGTGACCCAGCTCAACGCCAGGGACACCGGGGCAGAAAGGCCGGAACGGGGCGAGGAGCCGACAGCCCTACGATTGACTTTACTGAGGCAGCGCGGCACCGCAGGGCAGGTGGGGAGCCAGAACGAGGGGTGCGGGGGACGGTCACTGTCCCAAGTCGCAGGACACGCCGCGCCTGCTCCGTCTCCACCCTGCACGGGCCACACTGAGCCACAAACGGCTTCGTGGATGCTCCGGGCCACGTAGTCCAGGTTGTGCGCATTGATGCTGCAGAGGCTGAACTGGCCGTCCGGGCGGAGATAGATGTGGCTGCGCTCGAGGAACGCCACCTGGGACGCTGGCAGGAGACATGAGCCACGTGAGTCCCGAGCCGGGGTGCGGCTGACTGACCCCAGACGAGCCTAGGAGTTAAGGGCACCATGGTTCTGGGTGCCGCCCACACGCATGGCGAGACCCAGGGCCTGCCAGGGCGCGCTCACAACGTAAAGCAGCGCAGGCCCCTGGAGAAGAGGGGACGGCTGGCGCCCCAGCCAAAGAGACGATATCCCGTCTCCAGCCGACAGGGACACTGGGGAGGCAGGGTTCCCTTTGGACGTACTGTGTAAGCAGCAGCAAGAGGAGACAGTCTCGGCTACCCAAAGATACCAGAGCACGGGCCTAATCCCCCCTCCCCGTCCCCTGCCAGTGTGCATCAGTCCTGCCCTGGGTGTCCACTAGTTAGGGCTTGGAAGATGCACAGCCAGTTCCTTGCTCTGCCACAGACTCCCTGTTTGACCCTGGGTATGTCACTTAGTCTCTGGACTACTGCTCTCTTCTGCACCTAGAGATAGCAGCACTGCCTTGCTCCCTCACAGATTGGGAGGGCAAACCCCGGACAGCTCGGGAGGCACACAGACCCTGCTGCGACAGGGCTACTGAGGGCTTTTACCCCTGGCCTCCGGCTGGCTTTGGAATTCGGGATGTAAAATCCTGGTTAATCAGTTAACGAGTTAAAGCTAAGGTGTAACCGGTTAGCCGATTGAGTGGCTCCCTCCCACGTCACGCATGGGGCTGCCGGCCGCAGGAATCAGCCCCTCCGCACAAGAAGCGGCCTACTCCGGACCCCATGGGGCTGTCCCGGGTACCTGTTAACCGGTCCCGATAAGGGCTCCCCCTCCCCATCCCTTTTGGAACAGGGGCACGAAAAAGGCCCGACCCCTGCCCAGCTCCGGTTCCCGGCCCCACCGGACAAGCCACCCCAGCAGGGCTCTGAACCTCGGCAGCCCAGCTCCCACGGGTGACAGGCCACAGGCTGGGCCCTGGCCGCCGCGGGAGTGGGGAGGTGGCGGCCCAGGCGCTTTGGGGTTGGGGGGAGCTGGTACTTACGCAGCAGCCCGGTGAAGCTGCGCGTCCCCACCTGGGCCGTGAGGTGCTCCCAACAGCCCGGCGTGCCCAGGAGCCGCAGCTTCGCCTTCAGCTTCTCCCGGATCAGCAGGATCTTCTCCACCAGCGCCCGGAGACTCTGCTTCCTGCACAGCCCAGACCCAGGCTGAGGGGGTGGCGCTGCCCCTTCCCAGGCGCCGAGGACTTTGCCGAACCAGGTGGCCCTTCCTGAGCCCCACAAGGGCAGCTCCCAGGGCCTGCGGCGAGGCAGGTCCTGGCTGCTCCGGGTGGATGCAGCACTCGCAGAAGGGACTGGTGGGAGGCGAGCAGCCCGCGCAGGAAGGGACGCAGGGCCAGGTGCTCCCAGACCGATCTCCAGCCGCCCAAAGGGGCTTAAGGCAGGCACCTGAGCCTGACAAAGGGGCAGGCAGCTGCAGAGGAGGGGGCAGATGCCGGCAGGTACTGGGGGTGCTGGAAGAAAGGCCGGTGCCCCGGGAGCAGGTTGCTCAGTTTGGAACCGGGGTGCGAGTCTGAGCTCTCTTCGTGCAGGATTCCATGACCTGGACCCCAGCAGGCGGCACGCTCTGCCTCCCTGAGCCGCGCGGGGGCTTCGAGGAAGCCCGAGGGAAGGGGAAACTGAGGCAGATTTCCTCAGCGCCGTGCTTGGCCAGAAGGAGGTGCTCTGGGTCAGGCACGCGCTCCGAAGGGTTCCTCCCCTTGTGCTGCCCCAGGACAGGCATGTCGGGGGGGGGCTGGCAGTGAACCTCAGGAGGGTCCCCACGGCGGCCGCGTGCTCTGCCCCTTACCACTTGTTCCGAAGGGCCGGGTTGCTCAGCACCGTGGCGATGACCCGGGCGCCCAGGCTGGTGGGGGAGGCCCACGTCGCCCTCACTTGCTCCTGCAGCTGGGAGCAGATTCTGACCAGCGACCCACTGTCCCTCGCCACCACGATCAGGTTCCCCACCCGCTCGTCTGCCCGGAGCGACAAGAGCAGCCTGGCATGTAGGGCCTGCGTCCCCCCTCCCCATGTGCAAAGGGCCCTTCTCTGGCCCCACAGACAGCCCTGCCCCGGCACTGCCCTTCCCACGCCAGCCCCCAGCCCACCCCCCCACGGAAAGGGAGCCGGCTCATTCGGTTTGTTCCCTGCCAGCGGCCCGGCGTCCTTCCCGCGTCCTGCAGTGACACCTGCTGCCCGCTCTGAGCTCCAGCTGGGACTTGGGGCATGCCTGCGGCACCCGGCTAGTTGTACGCCAGCTAAAGCGAGCACAGGTGGGACCTCCCTGGGCCGGCCCCCTGGGGACCTGCCTGGTCCCGGATGTGGGATTGTTCCGGGCCCGGGGGGGTCATTTCTGGCCCACTGCCCTCCCCCCTCCACCAGACTCTCTGGTTCCCTCTCCCCCACCAGCAGCCCAGCTGGGCCTCGCGTCTCCCCTCAGAACCCCCAGCAGAGCGCTGGGACTCTGATCCTGGAACCAACATGGTCCTTCCGGCCTACAGCTGTTGCCGGACCAGAGAGGTCCGGTTTAGAGAGATGCCGCCTGTCGGGAGCACGCTGCTGCCTGGGCTGCGCCAGCCCCCTGCCCGGCCGGGCTGGGCCCTCCCCTGTGC